CTCTTAAAAAACCCTGCAGGTTAAAGAAAACTGTTAGATCGAAACGCATACCCCTGTACGCTATTCCTACTCAATTTCAATCTCTCGCTCTTATATCCTCGCCTTTGATAGTGTTCCATAAAAATTTCCACCTATTTTGGTTTCTACGGCCGTGATTTAAACGTGATTTTTAAATTTAGAGTCTCTGAAATGCCATTTCCTGGACCCTGCAGCCCCCCGGTTGCTACATACGGCCCTGGGCTACACGCGGAAATGCACCGAATGGCAAATAAGGATTACCACTCGAAAGTCTTGCACGATATTTTTTTTAAGTTCGAATTGCTTGCCCGATATTTTTTTGGGATTCTACCCACCCCCCATCAAAAATCAAATGGTTCGTCCCTTACAACTATTCAAGTCTTCATTATATGAAACGATTTCATTAGACTGCACACATTTCAAAACGGAAAGCGGTCGCAAAATGTCGATCGCTTCACAAATTGCTGAATGCAAATCTATCTTAAATACCGGGTGTCTCAAAAAAAAACTGGACAGCATTTGAGTTCAGGTAACGTAAAAGGTATAAAAGCGATAATGCATTCAGAAATGACTAACTTCGATTTTGATATATAGCACTTGAATTTACATGCAATATTGACTGCGCTATTGATGTTAATCTGAACGTTGAACTAATGTTTTTGAAAATAACAAAAATTAGCATACAGTAAAACAACATTTATAATTATATCTACTCTTTAATCTTTAATCTTTAAAATTCTGTAAGCACGGTAGCCATTTAGCTAGCATGCTACGCTGATTTTCAATTGGCCGTGCACACTATACAACATGTATTAACCTAATTCTATAATACAAAATAGTGAAGCCTATATATACATGCTGGTCAGCTTCACACTATAACATATACTAATACATTAAACAACTAATTATTCTAATTATAGTAAAAACTACTGATTATAACTGATTAACCCAAGGGGACTTAATCGGTTCTGTAGTGATTGATGAGCATAGATTTAGCAACATCTAGTGTGATATTGCATTTTCAAAAACAGTATAGTTCAACGTTCAAACACGGCAATAGCGCAGTCAATATTGCATGTAAATTCAAGTGCTATATATCAAAATGGAAGTTAGTCATTTCTGAATGCATTATCGCTTTATAGCTTTTACGTTACATGAAATCAAATATTGTCCACGTTTTTTTTTGGGGGGGGGGGGGGGGGCACCCGGTATTTAAGGTAGATTTGCATTTCGCAACTTGTGGGGCGATCGACATTTTGGGGCCGCTTTCCATTTTGAAATGTGTGCAGTCTAATGAAATCGTTCCATATAAAAAAAACCTGAATAGTTGTAAGAACCATATAATGTGAAAGTGCATATTTCCACCGAAAGTGCGTATTTCCACCGTTGAGAATTGGGTCTAAAACTATTGAAAATTAACTCCCTTTACTCTTTAGGACTTAAGTTGATGAATTGAACTTCAATAGAAATTAGAATACTTGCGCATGCATAATGATCATAAACGTCTACCAGCCCTGAGCTCATTTTTAAAATGACACGTTCGTGAAACCTCATACACACCAAAATTCACAAACCTGACAACCCAGGTAGACCTATTGTATATGCTTGTGGTTGTCCCACCGAACTCATCTCCAGTTTTCTCGATCGTGTCATGGCACCCTTGGTTAAGGACTTACCATCCTATATCAAGTATACCAAGCATGCTCTTCAAATTCTCCAGAACATTCATTTTCATGGCACTCACAAATTCATTTTCACCATGGACGTCAAATCCTTATACACTTTAATTCCGCATCATGATGGTTTGAGGGCCCTCAAATTCTTTCTAGATAAACGCCCTAATCAGGAACCGGCCACTTCTGTTTTGGTCCGATTGGCTGAGTTGGTGCTTACCCTCAACAATTTTTCCTTTGATGATGGTGAGCATTACCAACAGATAAATGGTGTAGCAATGGGAACTAAAATGGGACCCAACTATGCTAATTTGCTTGTTGGTTTTGTGGAAAAACAAATCTTCGAACAGTACACTGATCCCATCCCTGATTACCTTGGTAGGTACATAGATGACTGTCTTGGCACAGCATCATGTTCTCGTGTCGAATTGGAACGCTTTATTAACTTTGTTAATAATTTTCATCCAGCACTCCAGTTCATATGGGAGATCAGTGAGACCAGTGTATCATTCTTAGATATCCTTGTATCAATCAATGGTAACAAAGTATCTACTTCTGTGTTCTACAAGCCCACTGACTCCCATAGCTATCTTCTATTTTCCTCTTCCCACCCCAACCACACAAAAAGGTCGATTCCCTTTTCTCAGTTCCTTCGTCTTCGCCGCATCTGCAGTGAAGACGAAGATTTTCAGGCCAAAAGTCTGGAGATGAGACACTTTTTTGTCCAGCGTGGTTATCCTACCTCTCTATTAGACACTGCCTTTTCGAAGGCCTCCCAAATTCCTCGTTCTGACACCCTCACAGACCCTATGTCTAATGTCACAGGCAACAACAAAATCCCCCTAGTATTAAATTAACTATCATCCTTTCAATTTCAAAGTTAGAGATGTCATCAACAAGAATTTTCATATTTTGAAAAACGACCCTGAAACATCTTCCATTTTCTCCGATAACCCCTTAGTCTCTTTTCGACACAGCAAAAATATCCGTGAAACCCTTGTCCATAGCTCCCTAACACAGGCTTCGACGTCACAGCAAGGCACTTTTCCTTGCCTGTCGTCGAAATGTAAAACCTGTGATTTTATAGATTGCACCACTATTGTTTCGGCACCTAATTCTGAATTTCACATCAAGCACCATTTCACGTGCGCCTCCTCCCATCTCATCTACTGCATCTCTTGCAGTAGATGTGGCATGCTTTACATTGGGGAAACTGGAAGATGTTTAAGGACAAGGTTTGGTGAGCATCGGCGTGCAGTTATTGGCAATGATGCTAACCAACCTGTTGCCAGACATTTTAATGATGGCAATCACAGTGTTTCAGATATGTTAATTCGAGCCCTCTGTCCCATTTCTGGAAGCAACGATAGCCGCAAACGACATGAAATGCGCCTCATATCCGAACTTGGCACTGTTCACCCTTCTGGCATTAATAAACGTTTCTCTTATGTTTAATGCCATCATAGACAATCCAGAAGACATGTCTTCTGTTTTGTCTATGATGCCATCTGTTTTTCCTGTCTATAGCAGACATTGACAACTTCTATTTATTACTTTTACTTTTACCTTATTCCCACACGTGTTTTGTTTTGATTATTATTTTTTGTAGTAATTGTCTTAACTTCCTGTTTATTTTTATTTTTTTAATTATATTATATTCTGTAATGCGATTTACATATTTTGTTTACACTTTGTTATTATTAAATCCATCTAATTGGTTTATTTTTTGTCACGTGATACTTTCATACTCTTAGTATAAAAGCCCGTGCATTTTCCCCGATCCCTGCTACTAACTCTTGACGAAGGGCCTTCGCTCGAAACGTCGAGTTTCTGCTTATTTTTTAAGGTAGTAATATAACCACTCAGCACAGCATTTTATTATGAATGCAATGATCTTTATTTTATAGCTTTTACGTTGCATGAAATCAAACAGAGTCCGGTGTTTTTTAGGACACCGGTATACAATTTGAAAATATTTTAAGATTGACCTTTACGGCAGAAAAGGTCAATCTTTATTCCTTTATTAGCTAAAAGTAGCTAAATTATAGTCCAATTTTTATGCACTGTGATTGAACGAAACGCGATCCAAATGACAATTTAATTTGTTTGGGATCAGATTAACCGTAACTCGTTTACATCTTTCAAACGTTGTGGTTTAACTCGAAGAACAAAATGTTTGACTTTGCTCGAGTTAAGCCCCTATTTTCTAAAGGGCTTAACTCGAAGTACCTAACTCCAGTTATGTACTTCGTGTTAAGCCCTCAACGGAAATGGGTGTGACATGGGCGTGACATGGGCATGACATGGGCATGGCATGGGCATGGCATGGGCGTGGCATGGGCGTGGCATGGGCGTGGCATGGACGTGACATGGGCGTGGAATGGGCGTGGAATGGGCGTGGAATGGGCGTGGAATGGGCGTGGTCGGGGCTTAACTCGAAAGGGCGTGGTTGGGGCTTAACTCGAATTTCCCCCATTTGACTCAACTTTGCCTGGCTGAAGAATTACCGAGAATGGAGCGCGATATACAACGATGATCATTGTTGAAAATCCGCAACTTTTCCCTTGTTCGACCGACAGTATATGGTTCGCTACTTGAGGGCGATGCGTGTGTACAGCAAAGTAAAACCAACTCCAATTGCGCGCCTTGTCATCCGAGACACAACAAATTAAATTTTTAACGTAACGCTCTTGTCTAGACTTGGATCAAGTCCGTCTCTCAAGAGTCTGAGGGATCGGACGCACGAGGTGCAATAACGCGGGAAAGTTTGAGGGAGAAGACGGACTTGGCTCACCTGCAAGCGCGCCAAATTTACCTCAAGAGTCCGAGGTATCGGACGCACGAGGTGCAATAACGCGGGAAATTAGTTATGATGACGGTGGTTATGGTTATGATGGTGGTGGTTATGATGGTCGTTTTGGTTATGATGATGGTGGTTATGGTTATGATGATGGTGGTTATGGTTATGATGATGGTGGTTATGGTTATGATGATGGTGGTTATGATGGTGGTTATGGTTATGATGATGGTGGTTATGATGGTGGTTTTGGTTATGATGATGGTGGTTATGATGGTGGTTATGGTTATGATGGTAGTGGTTATGATGGTGGTTATGGTTATGATGACGGTGGTTATGGTTATGATGATGGTGGTTATGATGGTGGTTTTGGTTATGATGATGGTGATTATGATGGTGGTTATGGTTATGATGGTAGTGGTTATGATGGTGGTTTTGGTTATGATGACGGTGGTTATGGTTATGATGATGGTGGTTATGATGGTGGTTTTGGTTATGATGATGGTGGTTATGGTTATGATGATGGTGGTTATGGTTATGATGATGGTGGTTATGGTTATGATGATGGTGGTTATGGTTATAATGATGGTGGTTATGATGGTGGTTATGGTTATGATGATGGTGGTTATGATGGTGGTTATGGTTATGATGATGGTGGTTATGGTTATGATGATGGTGGTTATGATGAGAAAACAGCAGGTTATTTGCTTTTTATAGCATTCACAAGAATAAAAATACAACGAAAATAATTCCAGCAATTGTTTACAGGTTAGTAAATAAATTTTTAGTACTTAATTATTAAGCTAGTTAAAAAATGTACTAATTTTAAAACACAAATATTCCAAAAGAGCGAAGATAAAAACATGAACAGACTATAATTTTTTGGAAGAAATTAAACTGAACTAAAAACAAGGTCAACTTGTGATGTGAAATCAACAAACACTTGTTTTGTCTAAAAGCCTACAATATATAAAAATTAATTTCGAGTTTTCAGCAATGTTTGTGATAATTATGGGTGGTGATAATGATGGTGAACAGGTGATAATGGTAACGCTGGTGGTAGTGATGGTGAATATGATGGTGATGAAAGTGACGGTAATGGTATATCAACCAACAGAATATAACACTTACCCAAACCCTTGGTATGATCTGTAAGTGGACCAGTGTCTGGTGATCGTGTAAAAGCTCGATTTCTGGTCCAGTCAAAATTATCAGTTTTATCTTGTGTCCATTTGCATATATTATCTTCAAAGTCGCAGGAGAATTTATCAATCTCTAAACAAAGAAATAGTTGAAAGTCAAGACCACAAATACATTTGTTCCACTGAAAATATATCAGGTATTCAGGCTTTGAATTTAAAGTGGCACTATCATTAAAATTTTTTTTCATTTTTTCTCATTTTTTTTTTCTAGAGGATTTTATCTGGTATAGTGGTAGTATGTCAGCTTATTTTATATAATTTTTAATCTCACATAAAATAGGATGTATAGAACACCATACATTGTATTTCGCTTCCACCGCGACTTGCCAGTGTGACTGGTGCCGGAGGTATGCCTTGGCAGAATTGTCATGGCTATCTCCTTTTGCTGCTAACATTACTGATTGTTACAGCGCAGCTGCTATGGCAATACTCCATGCCATCAAGTCTAGTTGCAACCTTCGACCACATACGGCACCTGCCTCCAAACACCAATACTCTGCCGTTAAACATGGTTACAATCGCCCAGACCAAATGGAAACCTGATTTTAGTGTTATATGTAAAAATACTCCTCTTTTACTATTATAATATATATTTTTGGTCGACGTTAATATCTTGTCAGTTCCATATTCTTATTTAATAATTAACACTATAACGCCTGGGTATCCCCATTTGACGAGTAAAAGTGAAAATGGCGGGGGGGGGGTCAAAGAAAAATATTCTAATATGCAGGGGGATCATCATTAAATTTCTGCTCTTTTAAGCGGGGGGGGGGGCGCTTTCAATTTTAAAAATTTAGAAAAGAAAAAATACCCCTCCCCCCTTCCATAAATAATGACCGGTCCCTAAGAGAGCGAACGTTTGGGGAGTTAGCGAATGGCCTCTGCGAATGTCCTGTTGTTGTTTTGAAAGCCGACCAGTGACAATGCAGCGTGTAATTCGAATTTGAAGGCCATGAATTCAGATCGGTGACCAACCTCGGAAGATTTGACATTTGTAAGTTTGAATTGGCATTTTCTGCAGGAAGATTATTGTTCAATTCTGTTAAAGAAAAGTATATTATGTAAAAATTATCGCTCTTCCGATGTAACGTAATTTGGCGAGGATGCGACAGCCGAAGTTCGCGTTTATATTCGATTGATTTCTGTCAGCGTTTGTCCCAATTAGTCCAATTAACGGTCAAAGTGACCAGCCTTGTATTATTTCTTGCTGTTAATCCTCATGTCAACCCCAACTATGGCCGTTAACCCCTTGTCAACGCCAATCTTGGCCGGTTCTCACGTTAAAATCTTTCAAGAAACACATGTAAGTGCTTTTCATTATACTATTATATAAAGATATAACGTAATAAATTAATAACACAGGATTTTCTAATGATTTTCAATATACTATTTATATAAAGATATAACATAATTAATAACACAGGGTAAGATTGGACCGCTTGTGTTTGAAACGGCATCAAAAACGTCGAGCGCGAGTCCAGCATCGTCTCATTCAGAAATTGAAAAAAAAATGTAAAAACATTTCGTATTTTTCTTGCATTACAAATTTGTTTGGTACGTTAAAATATTGTTAGTATATAGTAAAAGTATCGTAGATTTTATTTCCGTGATTATTTTAGCGTAGTTGTAAAGATATTTGAAGTATTTTGGATTGTTTGAAGGTATATGGTCTATATGTATATTTAGATTGATTCGATTTGCCTACCTTGGGAAATAATGCAACTATACAACGCCTCGCCCGCGCGCAGGCAGGCAACCATAACATTGGGCTGCCTATGATTTCACTACTATTTCAACAATGTCTTCGTATAAAGCCAAAGGAGAGTCAGAAACTTCAGAAAGTGAACACTCGCATGGGAACAAAGCGAGCTGTGATGAAGAAACGTACGGTGACTCACATTCAAGTGAAAATAGTGTTGAAAAGAAGAAATCAAACCCAGAAAAGTTAATATTTGTTGACAATAAATGTAAGTTATAGCTATAAACACATATTTCAACGCATAATTTTTGTGTCTATTGGTCTATTTCTGTATTTTTAACGACTGTAAATTAAACTGACACTCAGGGAATTTAGTGCACTTGGAAATTTAGCACAAGTAAATATCCTATGACTGTATCTGCGTGTTCGCTTGCCCTGGGACACGTATATAAAACGCGGTATATAGGCTATCGAGGTACTGATATTATACTGTACGAAAGATTATTGCATATAATAACAATAAGTTGATTTCAGATTTTACAACTAATTGCATTTGAATTGGATAATTTTTATAAATAGAACGAATATAAATGTCTCGGGACCGAATAACAGAATTAATATGCTAAATTCCTAAATTAATAATGCTTCAAATCAGTTCAATATTTGTTTTCCATGCTTTTATAGACCTTCAATGCCAATGGCAATGGGCGCCGTGCAAGTTGAAAATTACACATCTACTTTTCAAATGCAAGTTGTAAAATCAACTATTGTATTTATCCCCGTCGAGTGTGACCTTTTTATACTGTATATAGTTTGCTATACAATACTAAGCCGGCCTACAATGAATCTTTAATACGGCAAGCGAAAACGCGCGTAGAGTCGTAGGATATTTACTTGCACTATAAAGCCTGGTTCACACGATGAAATAAGCATAAGCACAAGCAGCGGAACCTTTGATGTGCATAAACGTAAGCATAAGAAGAACGCAACATTTGTTCTTCTTATGTTTATGCTTATGCTTATTTCATCGTGTGAACCAGGGCGTAGTAAAACACGGGCGGTGAAACGCACTAATATTTGCCTGATCCATGTTTGATGCACGGGAGACTGGCGCGAGCGTGCGAAATGCGAAGAAACAAAAATATTTATAGGGCAATCAAAAAGTACAATTTGTTAAGGTAAATCTATCCTTAAAATGGAAAAATATTAACTTGTTATAAAATAGAGACTCTGGCAATTAATTAGTATTGCAAATTACATCGCTGGAGTTGGAAAAGCATTTTTAAAATGTGAAATTATTTGAAGGCATAGCGATTTTATCATAAAATATATTTACATTTTTCAGGCAGTGACAAATTGTAGTCGAGTTTTTTAGCCAGACCGAGTGGAAAAAAAGTTAACTTGAATCCTTTAAATTGTCTATAATTAGTTATACTTTCGACCTGAAAAGGTCAGAAAATGGGCTTTTGTGGGCTTTTTTTTTTAATTCAAAGATTTATGACCAGGTCACTTGGGTAATTTACAATGACACAACTTGTGATCTTGTTTTGATAAAGTTAGAAAACAATTGTCAATTTAGAAAACATTGGAAACATTTTCATTAACATATTCAGGCATTCAAATGCAATATAAAAGTTAGGGAAAATATTCAATGATAAGGAACAAGCAGAAAATTCTGTTTTTACTATGTTAAAGGTTGTTTTATTTCTCTTTTCGAACTTACATTATGCAACTGAAATGTCCGCCAAAAGACTCCAAATTGCATAATGTTCACAGCGATGTCGCAGTTTTACAAGGGCGGAAAATTTTTGACCTTTAAATATTTCATGCACAATATATGAAAACTAGCTTCATTTTGATGTTTTTGGATAATTCAAGTACCTAATTTTTTGCCAATCACGAAATGATAATGGGCTTTTTAAATTTTTAAACATTTTTTGCCTTTATTTTTGACATGCACATGCCAAAATCTACACAATGCCATATGGAATACAAGCAAGCGATTAGCGATGTAGTTTGTTGTCGCAGTTTTACAAGCGCGGAAAATTTTTAACTTTTAAATATTTCATGCACAATATATGAAAAGTAGTTTTATTTTGATGTTTTTGTATAATTTAAGTACCTAATTTTCTGAAAATCATCAAATGATAATGGGCTTTTTCATTTTTAAACATTTTTTGCCCTTATTTTTGATATGTGCATGCCGAAATCTACACATGCATGGAATACAAGCTAGCGATAGTTTGTTGCCGCAGTTTTAATACAAGCGCGGAAAATTTTTAACTTTTCAATATTTCATGCACAATATATGAAAACTAGTTTTATTTTTATGTTTTTGGATAATTCAAGTACCTAATTTTCTGCAAATCACCAAATGATAATGGGCTTTTTTAATTTTTAAACATTTTTTTGCCTTTATTTTTGACATGTGCATTCCGAAATCTACACATGCATGGAATACAAGCAAGCGATAGTTTGTTGTCGCAGTTTTACTACTTTTACAAGCACGGAAAATTTTTAACTTTCAAATACTTCATGCACAATATATGAAAACTAGCTTCATTTTGATGTTTTTGGATAATTTAATTAAGTACCTAATTTTCTGAAAATCACCAAATGATAATGGGCTTTTATAATTTTTAAAGGGTATGGGCAATGAAAATTGCTTCATCTATCTTATTGCTTCGTCTGAAAGAGCATGAAAAAATAAGCCGATTGGCCGTTTAATGCTCTATTCTATCTCATCTAGTTCCGAAGTCATACGCAAAAATGTGCAAAATATAAATTGCTGATTCAGCACAACGTGTGACGTCATTAGCTGGGTAAGTATGTTTACTGAATACTACACTGAAGCATAGCTCAGTTATTATGGTCCCAAATCAAATGAAATTTTGGATACTGATTGTACATGATGAGATGCATGGAAAAACACTTCTAATTTTGTTGCCAAGGTAACAATGTCGTTCCCAGGCCCCTTGCGCCAATTTTATAAAACAGCTTTATTCAAGGTACTGATAAAAATAAAATAATATCAGAAGTATGTGTACGATACCTATGCATGCCGAAAGTTTACTTGCATGATAATAATTGGAAAATGACATACACATAGAGAAATGCAACTAGTTATTCAAAATCAGTGTAAGGGGCCTGGGAACGACTGTGTTGCCTTGACAACGAAATTAGAAGTATTTTCCCATGTATCTCATCATGTACTATCTGTATG